ACTTAGTTTGGTATTGACTACCAGCATCAGGAAAGTAAATGACATGATCCAGAATGTTGCCATATTAAGAGCTTTGAGAATGTGATCATGGAGACTTAACAGCTTTTCTCATCTAGTGTCATGGACTAAAGGAGGTGGTGAATTGACCTATTTATGTTTCTACTCTATCTGCAAGAGATTATTTTAATGTTTCTTTATTTTTCTTGCTTTTCTCTTTCAAAGTAGGTTGTGATGTGCTCCCCAAAACTCTCAATTTGCGAAGTCTAATTGTTAAAAATGACCCATAACAAATTCTTTATGGTTTAAAAAGAACAGGGATGGTTTATTTATCACTTGAACCCAGAATTTTTTGGGAAACAAATAGGTATACATGGAGAAATATAAAAGGGTGGAAAAGAAGTTACAGTTCAGAATAACTTAGAAAGAGAAAATGGGCATGAATTCACATTAAATCAGAGAAATGTAAATTGGGCCTAGAGTTCAATAATTTGAGGGCCTTAAAACCTTTGCCCGTTCCCACCCCCACACCTGTCACGACAGGGGCATGTTTCACCACATACAACCAATTTTCACCCATTAATGGCCCCCAATATTAGCGATTTTCTTTCTCCCTGGCTTACTATTATTCATCCCTTCATCTGCACCACTGTTTCTCTTCTCCCACCCCTCTCTTCCGGGCTCCATTTCCACCTACCACACACTTCTTTCTTCCACCACCTTCCTTACTTCCAGATATGCACCACCTTTCCTAGCTACCACTAATTCTGAAGAAGGGTCACCAGACCCAAAACATGAACTCTGCTTTCTCTCCACAGATGCTGCCAGATCTGATTTCCTCCAGTTATTTTTATTTTTCTTTCTTTCAGATTTCCAGAATCCACAGCGCTTTGTTTTGTGGTAACATTTCATTACAATCTGATTATATCAGTACATTGAAGATCTTAAAATTATGACTACAAGTCACATTTTATCTGAAAGTTGACTGGAATCAACCCAGTGCATTTCCAAATATGTTGGATTACAATTTCCTGATTACGCTCAAAGCAGAAAGAAAATCCCCAAATCCCAGATGTCCTCGTTTCGAGGACCGCAACTTCCCCTCCACAGTGGGAGAAAATGCCCTCGACCAGATCGCTCGCGTTTCCCACAACTCCTCCCTCACACCCCCTCCCCACAACAACAACCAAAACAGAATCCCCCTCGTCCTCACGTACCACCCCATCAACCTCCGGATCCAACGCATCATTCTCCGGCACTTCCGCCACCTGCAATCTGACCTCACTACCAAAGACATTCTCTCCATGACTCCCTTGTCCGCTCCACACTCCCCACCACTTTTCCCTGCAACCGCAGGAAGTGGTACACCTGCCCCTACACTTCCACCAACATCTCCCCCCTCAGCCCCATCCCAGACCCCAAGAAAACGTTCCACATCAAACAGATGTTCACCTGCACATCTGCTAATGTGGTATACTGTATCCGCTTTTCCCGATGTGGCCTCCTCTACATTAGGGAAACCAAGCCAAGGCTCGGAGGCCGCTTTGTGGAACACCTACGCTCGGTTCGCGGCAAACGACTGCACCTCCCAGTCGCGAACCACTTCAACTCCCCCTCCCACTTCTTGGACGACATGTCCATCCTGGGCTTCCTCCAGTGCCACAACGATGCCACCCGAAGGTTGCAGGAACAGCACCTCATATTCCGCTTGGGAACCCTGCAGCCCAATGGTATCAGTGTGGACTTCACAAGCTTCAAAATCTCCCCACCCGCGACCGCATCCCAGAACTAGCCCAGGTCGTCCCCACCTCCCTAACCTGTCCATCCTTTCTCCCACCTATCCACTCTTCCCATCTCGACCCCTACCCCCCACCTCCTACCTACCAGCCTCATCCCTGTCTCCTTGACCTGTCAGTCTTCCCTGGACTGACCAACCCCCACCCACACTCACCTTTACTGGCTCCATTCCCGCCTCCTTGACCTGTCCGTCTCCTCTCCACCTATCTGCTTTTTAACCATCTTCCGTCTGCCTCCCCCTCTATTTCAGGATCCCCTTCCCCTCCCCCATTTCTGAAGAAGGGTCCAGACCCAAAACATCAGTTTTCCTGCTCCTCTGATGCTGCTTGGCCTGTGTTCATCCAGCTCTACATCTTGTTATCCCCAAATCTTCTCCAGATTTCAGAAAACCAAAAGAAAATGTTTCATTTACATTTTTCAACCATACTGTTTCATAATTTGTTTGTGTTGCAACTTCTATGCAAAATAATCAAAGCACATTATTGCTCTAGAAAAGTAGTGTTCCTTATTCCATACCAAGGATTCCCTTTTCCTTAAGCAATCCATCTCTTAAAATTTAGATCTTACCTAGCCTTCTGTCATTTATCTGCATTCTTCAAACTCACTGCTCTATTTAAAGAAGTTTCTCCTGCTTTTGCTTCCAAATCTCATTTCACGGTCCATTTATATTTGCTTGCATAGACCCCTTCATTTGGGAAACGCCGTTTCTGAATCCTACAGCACAGAGACAGGCCCTTCGGCCCAAACTGGTCCATGCCAACCAAAACATCCATCCACACTAACCCCATATGGGGTCTTGGCCCATATCCTTCTAAAAACTTTTCCTATCCATGTATTCATCCAAACGCCTTTTAAAAAATGTTGTTAATGAACCTGCCTCCACCACTTCCACTGGCAACTCATTCCATAAATGTGCCACCCTCCGTGTAAAAAAGTTGCCCCTCAGGTTCCCATGTGTTCTTCCCCCCCTTACTTTAAAAAGTGATGCCCTCTAGTCCTCGATTCCCCAACCCTGGGAAAAAGACCGAGTGCATTCACCCTATCCATGCCTTTCGTGATCTCATACACGTCTACAAGATACCCGCTCAGTTTTCTACACCCTAAAGAAAAACATCCTAGCTTGTCCAACCTGTCCCTATAACTCAGTCCCTTGAATCCTGGCAACATCCTTATCAATTTCTTCTGCACTCTTTCCAGTTTAACATCCTTCTTAATTGCATCCACTTTAACAGCAAGGTGGCCAAAACTGAACACAATACTCCAAGTGCAGCCTCACCAACGTCCTGTACAACTGCAACTTGACTTCCCAACTTCTTTTCTCAATACCCTGACTGATAAGAGCCAGTGCACTATAAGCCTTCTTCATTGCCCTGTCTACCTGTGACTCCACTTTCAGTGAACTGTGCACCTGAACTCCAAGGTCCCTCTCTTCCACTACACTCCTCAAGTCCCTACCACTCACCATGAAACTCCCACCTTGATTTGACTTTCCAAAATACAACACCTCACACTTATCTATATTAAAATCCATTTGCCATTTCTTGGCCCACTTCCTCAGCTGATCAAGATCCTGCTGCAATTTCTAATAAACTTCCTCATTGTCCATGATACCTCCTATTTTAGTGTCATCCACAAACTTACTAATCATGCCCTGTATATTCTCATCCAAATCATTGATATTAGATAACAAACAGCAATGGACCCAGCACCGACCCCCAAAGCACACCACTGGTCACAGGCCTCCAGTCCGATGAGCATCCTTCCACTATTACTCTCTGCTTCCTACCATCAAGCCAATTGTGTAACAACTTGCCAGCTCTCCCTGGATTCCATACGATCTAACCTTCCAGAGCAGCCTGCCATGTGGAACCTTGTCACAGACCTTACTGAACTCCATATAGACTATGTCTACTGCCTGCCCTCAACCACCTTCCCGGCCACTTTAAAGAACTCTAACAGGTTTGTGAAGCATGATCTCCCACACACAAAGCCATGCTGGCTACTCCTATCAAACCCTGGTCTTTCCAAATGCATGTACATCTTATCCCTCAATCTTCTCAAGTAACCTACCTACCGCACACATCAGGCTTACTGGTCTATAGTTCCCAGATTTTTCTTTGCAGCCCTTCTTGAATAAAGGCACAACATTCGCTACCCTCCAGTCTTCTGGGACCTAACCTGTGGCTAACAATGATGCAAATATATCAGCCAGGGCCCCTACAATTTTTTCTCTAGCATTTTGCAGGGTTCTTGGATATATCTGGCCAGGACCAGGAGATTTATCAACATTCATACATTCTAATACTTTGGAAACCTCCTCTTCTGTGATACGGACTATCCAAGATATTGCCACTAACTTCCCCAAGTTCTCAAGCCTTCATATCTTTCTCCATGGTAAACACAGAGGGAAAATATTCAACAAGGACCTTGTCCATCTCCTGTGTTTCCACACATACATGTCCATTTTGGTCCTTTAGGGGTCCTGTTCTCTCTAGAGATTCTTTTTCCTTTCCTATACTTAAAGAATTTCTTTGGATTTACCCTAATCTTCTCAGCCAAAGCTATCTCCTGGCCCCTCTTCACCTTCCTGATTTCCTTCTTCAGTAAATTGCTGTACCTCCTATATACCTTCAGGAATTCCCTTTATCCCAGCTGCCTGTACCTGAGCCATGCCTCCTCCTTTTTTCTGGTCAAAGCCTCAATATATCTTGTCATCCAGGGTTCCCTCCTCCTGCCAACTTTGCCCTTCACCCTCACAGGAGCATGCAGACCTTGAACTCTAGCTATCATGCTTTTAAAGGCCCCACACATGCCAGAGGTCTCTTTGCCTGCAAACTTCAATTAACCCCTGCAAGCTCCTGTCTAATTCCATCAAAATTCACCTTGCCCCAATTTAGGACTTGGACCTATGGACCAGTTTTGCCCCTCTCCATAACTATTTTAAAATCAATAGAATTTTATTCTATTCTCATTTCTCAATAATTTTAAACACTTCTAAAAATTACCCTATAATTTCCTGTTGTCTCACAAAAACAACTTTAAATATCAATTTCAACAACTTTGACCTTTTCTCCTCTCTAAGAAAAGGACAAAGTGAAGAACAGTGACATTCGGATAAGATTATTCATGATCGAAACAGCTGTTTCTCTTAAAGTTCAAATTAAACAACTTCATATTTACTACTTCAGAAAGTGGAATAAACTTACATTGACCAAACCAAAGTAGTGTTCATTGATTGGGAACTGCTCTGGACCGATGTCTTTCTCCAGAGCAGAGGCATTGGTGCCCTGCAACAAAAGCACAAAGGTTGGTGAGAATATAAGAATAGGCACAGCTGCTGTAAGAACAGAAAAACCTGCACTTATATTGTGCTGCTTATCGCTAATAGCCATCTAAAACACAAAACAGAGAACAAAGTATTTCTAAACAGAAGTTACTGTAGCAATGTATGAAACTCAGCAACTGATATTTGTGTACAGCAAATTCCCACAGGCAAAATAATCCATTGTGATGTTGATGGAGGGATTAACATTGTTCAGGACACTAGGAAGAATTCCCCTCCTATTCTTCAAATTATTCTAAAGGATTAATTACGTCTGAAACTTCATTCCAGGCCTTGCTTTAGAAAGTGATCAAAAGCAGCACTTCTGACGCAGCACTGCCTCAGTACTGCACTGGAGTCTCAATGTAGATTGTGTATAAAAGTCTCTGAATTCATAACCTAACTCAGATGTAATGCAATCATCAAGCCATAGCTGTTGGATAAATATTGCTACAAAAATGGAATAAAATGCAAAGCTGAGCATTATCAGTTTACACATCTATGGTGACTTTCTAATCTTCCCGAGGGTGAAAATGAACAGATCAAAAGTAAAACTGATGCAATAGGTTTCTGACACTGGATTGGATAATGGTGAAAAACAGACATGCAACTAATTAAAAAAGGTAACACAGGATAGGGTTATAATTCAACATTTTTTTTTCTTAGAAAGCAGGCTCATGAAAGGGAACATTCATTTGCCCCTGAACTGGGTGGCTTGTTCGGCCATCGAGGGCAGTTGAGAGCCCATTGCCACAAATCTGCAGTCACATATAGGCCAATCCAGGTAATGACGGCACATTTCCTTCCAAAGAAAGGAAAGACATTAGTGAATAAGATAAACCTTTTTATAATAACGGATAATAGTTTTAAAGGCAACATTACTTTGTGATGCATGCAATTCCAATCTTTATTCTATCAGCTGCCCTGGTGGGACTTGAACCCATGCATTTGTCTGGTTGTCTGGATTCTAAGTCCAGTGACAATCTCCCCTTAAGTTCGGGATAATGTAGACAGCGTTTTATCGTATGTCTAGGAGCGCTTGATACCAACACTGGGTCCTTGAAATGAGCATATTCTACTGTTATAAAATAACCTTCACTGAGAAATGTGAGGCAGAGGAGGATAGGTAAGCTCAGTCTCTTTTGTTCCATCCAACAACTAATTATGCAAGGAAAACTCATGTAAAACATAGCCATCAACTGTCAATCAACAGCAAAATACCAGTTTCATACAGTGCATAACATTTTGCGCAATAACAAGTCTACTTAATGTAAATTAAGTCATCAATTCATGGGATTTGTTAGGGTTGGTGGCAAACACTTACTCAAGGCCACTGAAAAACAGAAATATGAAATATAACATCAAAAAAAAGTTTGATCTCATTGCTGTGATCTCAATTTTGACATTCTAGGTAAAAAATTAAGTAGAAAAATCTGTTTCCAATCCCATGCCCACGACATCCCATTAGCCATGTTGAACTCTTGACGTCATAAAATCAGCATAGTCATACAGATATTAACTAGTATGAAGATCTTCAGTTGACATCTGGGAGGACCTTTCCATTTGAAACTTGCTTAACAAAGCATAACTGTGTAATGTCTCCACATTATTTAATAACAAAATAATCTCATTTCTCTTCCTCCAGGTTAATTCAATTACATATCTTCATCAGGTGAAGATGATTAAACTTCAAGTTAACTCATTTTGCCTGACCATGAAATAGAGAAAAGCAACTTCAAAAAGGTGCATTGTTCACTGCTTTGTTATGGGAACTTCCACTTTTCACCCACCCATCTCTAATTTTGTAAATCCTAAGCAGTAATGCACATCAAAGTTTAGAACTGCACATCATAGCAAGACATCGACAAGATAGCACAGGAAAGACAGTTCTACTGTTAAGACTGCCATAACAATTTTGGTGTTGTTAACGTCATCTTGATATGCTTTTGTACAAGTACCTAATTAAATGTCTTCTTTAAATGTTAGAAGTGCTGAGGCACATAGGAACAGGAGTAGGCCACTCAAACCCTTAAGCCTGCTCTGCCATTCAGTAAAATCAAGCCTGATCTGTGGCCTAGTTCTACATGCCCGATCTGGGACCATATCCCTTTGTACTCCTGCTTAATGAACAATGGTCTCTGATTTAAATTTAACAAATGAATTAGCATCGACCACTGAGGAAGAAAGTCCCAAATCTCTACTACTGTGCACAGAAGTGCTTTCTAACATCATTGTTGAATGGCCAGGTCCTAATTCTTAGACAGTGGTCCCTGCTTCTAGATTCTTCAGCCAGTGGAAATAGTTTTTTTTTTTTTTTTTTTTAAAATCTACCCTGCCTTTCCCCGTTAATATTGTAAAAATATCAGTAAGATCACCCTTCACTTCTAAATTCTAGAGAATAAAGGTCTAATTGCTCCTTATATCTTAACCCCTGAAGTCCAGCTATCATTCTTTTAAACTTGCACTGAACTGCCTCCAGGACCAAAACATCCTTCCTAATGTATGGTGCCCAGATCCACTCTCAGTACTCTAAGTGGGGTCTAACCAGGGTTTTGTACAACTGCAAATTAACGTCTGTTGGTACACTTCAGCCTTTTAAATATGAAGGTTAGCATTTCATTAGCCTTCTTGACCGCTTTCTACACCAGTTTGTGGCATTTTAAATAATTATGCACTTGAACCCTCTAATCCCATTTGTTCATCTAATGCATTAAATTATGTGCTTCTCAAAAAAAAACCTGATCTATCCTTTTTCCATTCAAAATAGATAATCTCACACTTATGTACATGAAAATCAATCTGCCATAGCCTCTCCCATTCACCTAAAAATATCCTGTTATAATTCTATGCTGTTGGCAACACTGTCTACAATGCTGCCCAATTTTGGGTCATCAGCAAATTAGGATATTTGACCCATTATGTCATTATCCAAGCCTTTAAAAGAGTACCTAACTGAGAATCCAAGACAAATCCCTGCAGTATACCGCTAGTTATGTCCTGCTAATTTGAGTACTTAACCATTATTTTAACCATTTCTGCCACTCAATTAGTTTCCTGTATCAGTAATTGGCTATCAATTTCACAGGGTCCCAACTTGGCCAATAGTCTCTGGTACGCACTTTATCAAAAGCCTTCTGGAAGTCCAGATAAACAACATCCATTGACTTACTTCTGTCCACCACCTTAGTCACCTCTTCAAAAAGATGATGTTTGTCAGGCATGACCTACCCATCATGAAACCATGCTGACTCCCTCATTAACTGAGATTTTCAAGGTGATAAGTTACCCTATCCTTCATTATAGGCTTTAATCAGTTCCTCACCACAGATGTTAGGCTAACTGGTTTTAATAGGCTCCCAAGCTCTATAAAATATTGCTAACACAGAGGCTGTTGTCAGAATCCAAATTATATTTTATAATTTATATTTAGGCCTGCTTTCAGCATTTTACCATTTCAGTGTGATGTCATTTCTGACTCAATACAACATTTTGAAGGGAAATACAAGGTGCCTTGCAATTGATTGAATTCAAACTAAAATTCTGAAAAATTAATATAGAAGAAACACACCATTAGTGAATCAATCAATCTACCTTTCTGAATCACGTGGATCTTTTAAACAACATTCCATTACTTTACAGTGTCTGCTAATAAAATGCCAACACAACCTGATGAACAGAGGAAATAAGTTAACTTAAGTGCTCTTTGAATGGCATGTATGTTAATGACCTAAAGACAGACAAATTTCATAAGACGGGATCTTCATGACTGCATCTTTGAAGCTAACGATGAAGTTTCAATTCCCTTTAGCTTGACCACCAACATTTTACATTGAACATTTCATGACTTATTTATACCAACTGAAAATTGTGTTTTAGTGGGAGCACTGTGAAAAACATGCAACAGTAAGAACTTAAAACATATGAAAACATTACCTCTGACGTTCAGCAACAGTACTTCAAAGAACTTATTCGTTACTAGTTGATTCCTGTGGCATTGGTGATGGACAAAATAAAATGGTTTCTTCCTCTAGGCAGGTGATGGGGTCTGGTGCACCCATAGTTCAGGATGCTCAAGGCCAGGCTGAGTGCATTGTGATGTTTGTGAGGGAGGGAAAAAGAGAGACAGATTTGTTGAGCAAATTTTATGGTAAGTTTGATCATATTTTCTGTGTTTTATTAGGTGATGTTTTCTTCCCTGGCATATGTAGTGGAGCAGGTAAGTGACTAATATGATAGTGGTACCTCAGTGTGTTTTATTTGGACATAACTGGGGTGAAAGATTTTTAGTATGGTGAATAATTAAAGTTGAATATTACAAATTTGTAAAGGGAAGGCAAAACATTTCACCACTAAGGAAGAAAACGAAGGTACTTGAACTCTCACAATGCAGACAACTTCCAAAAGCATTAAGCAGAAAAATCATGCCCATTTCATCAGGAAAAAACTAAATGATGCCAAAGTGTAATGATTAGGAAATATACTGTTAATGAAATAGACTATATAATTAAAAATACTATATTCATCTTAGCTTTTGACACCACTGTGTTTCTTTCTGGTTGATTCAAGTAACTATTATTAAACCATAAATCTCTCATCATCAAGGGCAAAATTTATGTATAAAGACTGCTAAAAAAATCTCTTATTCACAAGAATGAAGTGCAAGACTGGCAGAAATGCTAAACACGAGTATTTGTAATAAATACTTGTACATGCTAGTCAAACTTTAAGATACTTACTTCATCCAAAACAAGATTCATTATGACTGGTACAAAAAATTTACTGAAGCATGGAGCTCTACAGAAAAAGGCTTGTATTTGATCACTGAACATATTTCCAACAATAAACAGGATTACTGATGGAAGGGCAGAATGCCCTATGCATTCATTTGCACACAGCCAAGTTAAAACCCAAGCAGATTATTACTTAAAGAATCTGACTCCCTTATGATGCATGATTTTACTGAAAAAATGCTAAGCTTATCCAATAAAAGAGTCATAGGTACTGGCAGGAGATAAATCAATGAAGGATTATGCAAGAGCTTTATTTGTGCTGTGCACTAAATCTTTTAAGCTGCCATGATTTTTCAAAAAATATTTTCTTGAAGTAGTGAAGTCAATGGAAACATTTTCTGTAATTGTGCTTTGTTTTTCTGCTTCAAGGAATCCACTTAACAAAATTGGCAGAAAGCCTTGTGCTAGAACAATTAAAAAATGTCCTGAAACCATCATCCTAAATGCTACAACATTTGTTTGCATTCAAAATAGTGCAGAACAAAATCAAAAGACATATCAGCCAAGAATCTATTTGGTGCTAGTTATCATTTCATCCCAATCCCCACTTTCTCTTTTGCGTTCCTGAATATACAAGACAATGAAAATGACTTTCTAAATATTAGAAAATAGCTGCTGGTATTCACGTGACTCTAGACTGCTCCCGTCAAGCTATTCAATCAGAGGCATCAAGTCAAGAGCAATCTTGTCCTCAATCTATATTCACCTTTCTCAAAGATAAACTAGCTGGAGATCAAGGACTCAATTTTATATGTAAGAAAGCATAAAAGGGGGAGCCTGTAAATTAGGGCACTGTTATCCTGTCCAAACCCTCAAATGTGATCCAACTAAAGCCCTTAAGTAGGTATTCAATTACAAACAACGGGGCCTCCACACAATTTCTACCCTGCCCACCTGCCCCAACCAACAATGCCACTCCTCCATCCTCAGTGTGGCCCATCAACTGGGTCCTAGCAAAATCCTGGACATGCCTAAATGCCTGGGTCCATTGCTGAATGCACTTTTACAGCGGTGGTCACTGCTTCTGTTAGTGTAGCTGATGCGCAGAGCTGCTATCTTTCAGAAGGAGCTTCCTCCTGAAAATGGACAAAAGTCTCACATCAAAGGGCAGTATTCTGAAAGGTTAAATTGGAGCAAGTCAGCTAAAGGAAGACAGACTCACTCCCAATATTTACACTGTGGTTCAGGGAGGCCAACTTCAGCATATAATTCTGCCTTAAGAAGTGGCAATTTTCCTTCTTTCAATCCAAATCACTGAAAGAGTAGTAGCATGCCAGCCACTGTTCTTGTTGAAATCAGCATACTCACATTAGGAGTCACACTTAGCACATTCCAACCTTGTTATTAGAGGCCATTTCCTTGATACTTGTATCGGCTAAATGCTGATTCATGAGGAAATAGATGCTGACAAATACTTAACTTGTTCATAAAATACTTGATCCACTTCTTCAACAATTTTCTTTTACAAACTAACATTGTAATCATAACATTTAAGCATTTATATGCTAGCATTGGTGGTCATTTCCACCCTGGATTTAAAAGGCTCAGTTTTTTTGAATCATTTAATACTTCAAAAACATTTTTGGAAATCTTTATAGAGCCAGAAATCAGTATATATTTTGGCTAAATTTGCATAAATTTTATTATGGACAGGTTTATTAAGTTTCATGTAAAAACGACGACTTGTGTCCAAATGGATTATTGAGAGACTATAATGTCAGGCTATGCAATTGTACAGTTTCACTATTTTCAGAACAAACAAAACAATAGGCCAGAATTTTCTGTGAAAATAATGGGGAGGCTAATGCCAGCATTTCACCATCTCACCTGAGATACATGTTGAGCTGCCTGTACAGTACTTTCATGGTTGATACATTGGTAGTTTGTTATAATGTGGGTGCTGGGATTAATAAAGTAAAACTTCATTATAGTTCAACTATGTTGTTATTAAGAAAATTCCTATTTTCCACCCATTTTAAACCAGAAAAATTAAGATTTACTTATTTTGGGGGCCATGAGAGCCTTGCACCAAAAGCAGATTAGTGCCATCTCGAATTGTACTATAACAAACTTCCACTACACAAAATCTGCCAGATATTTAATTAGTCGCCTCAATGAGCTTTTAATGTCAACACATGCTCATTACTGCTAGTCAACTTTGTCTGCACAGAAAGACAACTACTACAAAAGCAAGAGTCATTCCTAAAACAATCAATTTAAAAGCTTAGATTTGTTTCTTGCTTTCCGATGTCTTTTGCTTCCGCTCTCTCACAATCCATTTCTTCCCACTATTTTTTATATACTTGGTCTAACATCAAATTCACCTTCACTAATGCACACTTCTTCCTATGTTTCTCACTCAGTTGATTAGTCAAGGATATCAGATCCAATGTCAGTTGCCCTATGCACTCAGACTCAAGACAACCTGGTTCTTTTACTATTGTGTCATTGGCTTACTGCCAGCGACTTTGTAGGGAAGAAAAATGAGCTGAAGGATACAGCAGTTATGTTTAACACAAATGTCTTTATACTACATGCTATAGCAAAATCTGACCCATTAAACTCCTCCAGTGATGAACCAATAAAAAAGTGCTTTATTGCTAACCAAGGCTGCACAAACTTTAAAACTTATTTTGGAACCAATTTAGTTTTGGGCTCCATCAATATTTGTAAGTAAAGGTATTTCCACACAAACAGATATTAATATATACATACACTGAAAACAGCTCACTGCATTTACAATAACTATCTAAACAACGGTCAATGAGGCACCACTGGAAGAACCAATCCTATCTGTCCGTCCCTGCTTGAAACGGCCCTACCAGTTTATTATCTGATATAGTCAGTTAGCCAAAGTCGTGGAGAATGCCAGAGCCCAGGGTGCCCCACGCTTCCTATTACAGGGTACATTCTACAGCAGTCTGCAAAAGGGAAAAGACTACAGTAACGTAGTTTGGCTCACCCTGCTTCAATCTCACCTCCTGACAGCAGATGTGGAGAAGACCGTGGCCCAGTTCACCGTGGAGAGGGGCCTGTAAAGGGAGAAAAATGAGAATCTCAATTCTCTTCCCCCTCCCTCTCTCGATAATAAAAAGAATACAACATATGAAAACACAGCTGCAAAAGAGATTTAAAAAGTGAAATAGTTTGTGTTGAGATTTAAATCAGTGTTTATTCTTTGTATGTTCAAAATTCTCCACAACTTACAATTAGGTTGTGTTATTATTTTAAAATTGTGATCAAATCACAACTGGAATAAATGATAATATTATTCAAGAGCTATTTATTTCAAATTTTACAAAAAAGTCAAAAAAGTAAAATGATGAATGCAAGAAATCTCAAACCAAAGTTGTAAATTCACAGCAGTTCCATCAGCATCTGAAAGAGATAGATTAACAACTCAGAAATAACTTTTCCCATCAGTGTTCTTTTAAAAGGTCCTAACCAAAACATTAAAACCACCTTTCTCTTTCGAAGGCTGAGTGACCTATAAATTTCCACAGGTTATTTTAAATTTTAAACCCAATAGAATTTTACAACTAATAGTCCATTACCCCAGCTCTCGCCCTGTCCTTGCCCCACACACAAATCTTTAAATTTCAAACATTTATTCACTTTGCATTTAAATCTCATGGATCTACAGCATCTATAACAGTGAATAGCAAATGCACCCATTTCTTAATCTTCAAAGAAAATCCTACCTTCTTTGTTTATACTTGAACTAGGAATGTTCTTCACTACTTTCCCATCAAATCCCCTTAAAGTTTTAAGAGGAGATTGATTGAGCTCTTTATCTTCTAAATTCTACTGGAAGAGCAATATTTTTCTTTGCAATTAAATCTTTTCATCCCTGGCATCACCCTAATAAATCTCACATATAATCCTCCAGGCTTGGATATCCATCCTAACATGAGGAATACTACAAAAGGTTACTGTAAATCTATCCCTCATCTAAGCAATGTACGAATTTCAATTTTACCTTTGATTTTTTTTTAAAAATAGGGCCATTGAGTACGAAAGCAATTCTTCCAGTGCTGCTTTAAAAACCAAATCATGTATAATCTTGACCACCTCACTTTTTTTTTTAAAAAAAAAGAATGTACATTTTAACTCTTAACTCTCTACTCCTCCACTTCTTTAGAAGTTGTAAATTCAAAACGCACATTTCCTCTCTCCTTTTCTCCCAAGATAGACCATTTTGCATTTTTCAGTGTTGGATTTCATCCAACATCTAATTAGTTTGTGGCTATGTCCTCCTTGAGTCAAATGCAGTTCCTAGACAGCTACCTACACAATTAAGCATATCTGAAAATCTATATCCGAGTGTAGATAGCAAAATTATTTTAAATCAACTAGCCTGCTTGCCAGATATTAGCAATTATAAATAACTGTTTCAAAGAATTTGGATTACAGATAGAAGGTCAGAATGGGCAATGTTGGTGGAGGTTGGTCAGTCCAAAGAGTTACTTGGCTTACCATTTTCTTCCTTTTCAAAAGGAAGGGTTCTACCAATATTTATTTTCAGACACAACCTTCAAACTTCACTTTCTCCCTTTACCAAAAGAACGTATCAAGAGTTCAACATTTCAAGCACCTTTCCACTAAATCTTTCATAATGACCAAGTATCCAATCTAAAAGTTACAGTACTAATATTCAACAGACATTGAACTACTACAACAAAACTCAAACAATATTTTCCCATCCAGCTCCATCCAGGGGCTCTTTTTCACCTTCCCTTTAACCTCTCTATTCAATTTAAATACATTGCGATGCAATGGTCAGAAAAGTATCAACATGATCAGCACAGTGAAATGGTTTGCATAATTCAAATCCCATTTCATGTCTTTGTACTTTGCAACAGTAACTTTTGACTATAATTTGCCATACCCTACAGAATCACAGACATTTAAAGATGGTCAATCAGACCATTATGGCACTTAGAAACAGTTGTGCATACATTTTGCCCAGAACACTGCAAATTCCTCATCTTAGAGTACAAATATATAATTACAAGAAGAATAAGCTATTGCCCCTTTGGCCTGCTCTGTCATTTAATAAGATAATTATTGAATCCACACCTGAATGAATCCACATTCCTGGCTATTTCTGATAATCTACAAGTATCCACCAACTGTCCACCAATTATTAATTGAATCAGCTTTGCCACCTTTGAAAAAGGTAGAATACTCCAGGCAGGGTAGGGATCGTGGGTGGGATGAGATCTCTTCCAATGCTTTTGGATCAGTCGTCTCTGGTTATCAACCCACTCCATACACCCTACTAAAACCTCTCCATCTTGGAAACCTTCAGTAAGTCACCTCAATCTTTGCCATTCAAAAAAAAAATTCAAACCTTCCCATTCGTGCCTCGTGGATGAAATATATCCCGGTCTGTTGAGTGAGACAAGGGAGGAAATAGCAGAGGCACTGGCAATAATTTTCAATTCCTCCTGGCCAAAGGAGACGTGTTAGAGGACAGCCAATGCACAACCATTATTCGAGAAGGGAGCAAGGGATAAGCCAGAAAACTACAGGCCAGTCTAACCTCAGTGGTGAGAAAACTATTGGAAGCAACTCTGAGGAACAGAATTAATCTGGACTGGCAAGGATTAATCAAACACAGTTAGCATGGTTTTGTTAAGTGGAGGTCGTGTCTGACCAACCTGATTGAATTTTTCAAAGGTGGTGACCAGGTGTGTAGATGAGGGCAATGAATCTGATACAGTTTAATTGGACTTCAGCAAGGCTTTGGATAAGGTCCCGCATGGAAGTCTGATAAAGGTAAAAGCCCATGGAATCCAAGGAAACTTGGCTGATTGGATCCAGAGCTGACTGAGTGGCAGGAAGCAGATGGTCAAGGGGTGTTTGTGTAATTGGAAGCCCATGTCCAAGGCGTTCCACAGGGATCATTGTTAGGCCCTATGCTGTTTGTGGTATATACAAACAATTGAGGGTTGACCAGTAATTCTGCCAAATGGTATGAAAATTAGTGGGGTGGTAAATAATAATGAGGTTGGCCTTAGATTACAATTGCCAGCCAGCTGGGAAATTTTAACAGCACAATGGTGGGCCAAAGGACTTGTTCTTGTGCTAGACTGTTCTACATTCTTTAACACAACAACATACATTTTAAATTCTGCTTTACATGTACGCATATTTCCCTTCACTATCTCCTCTGAATAATTTCAATTAGAAAGACAACAGTTTTAAACAACGTCATTTAACCCACAAGAACATCTGGCAGGGGTTGATTAAAAATATTCCATAGTCAATATTAAACAATTTAATCTGTTGTGATATTTCCATTTAAAAAGATACTGTATTTGTGCATGTATTGATTAGTATAACAAGTGGAAAGCTCAACCAATGTTTATTTTAGTCAGAAAATACTGCATGTTCCAATTTAGATTTTTGTAACTTGATATAGTTCTTTTTCTAAATATTTTAGAAGTATTAAAAATTATTCACAAGTGCTTGATCACTGAGGACGTCCATGCTTCCCAGTCAAATCATAATTACTTTTAATCAACCTGTTCAGACACGTTATGACACACCGGAGACGGCAAGAACTGCAGATGCTGAGTCAGACTGACTAGTGTGGAACTGGAGGAACACAGCAGGTTAGGCAGCATCAGAGGAGCAAAAAAGTCGGCATTTTGGGTTTGCGCCCTTCATCAGGGCCCAAAACATAGACTTTTCTTCTCCTCTGATGCTGCCTGACCTGCTGTGCTCCTCCAGCTCCACACTGTATTGACTATGTTAATACACACCTCTGAGATAGGTGGAACTTGAACCTGGACTTTGGCCCAAATGTAGGGACCCTACTACAGTCACGTAAAATGAGACCTTGGAGTTGATCCTTGGTCTGTACAAGAGCTGGACCTGCTAGCAACAAAGCTATTAAGATTGTTTTTTGATAGGCAATGACAATCTGAGGCCTCAAAGTCTTGATTTTGATCTGAACTCCTGCCAAATTAATAATATATTATCCACTATTCCTTTATGAATATTGTGGCAGTATCCTTAACTTGCCTAACCAACAGAAATGTGAGTGCACCATTGCCATAAGGACTGCAAATGTTTCCAGGCAGGCTTATTTAACAGTGTAGAAAGAACCTATTCCAAAACAGATCTCCCCAATTTAGCTACAAAGGAAAAAAGGCTGATGTTGAAAAACAGTGACCTGGAATTTCCTAGACTTTTCAGTATTTTTATACTTTTGCAAAACTAACTAGATTGCCTTCATACTTCGATACCGGATACAGTATGAGATGGTAATATTCATTGCATTATTTTTCAATGCTGCTTTGTTATTGCCTACTTCAAAGAAAAGAATAATTCTGATATCTCCAATCATTAAGAGGCAAGATTTAGGTTTCTGAAGTAGAAACAGGAAAAAGGAGACTTGCAGTTATAAAGTGGTCCTGATCTAAATGAACTACTGGCAGCCATATATTCTAAACATTCTCTGAATATTAAAAATACATTGCCAACCTTTAACTAGCTTCAACATTTACGCTCAGCTTAGATTCTAACTGATCTAAATAACCTCATTGCATTTCCTTCAATATCAGTGATGAAAAATAGGATTTTTTTTTTTTAAAAAAGGACATTCTTCCAGCATTGCAATATAATCCCTGCAGTGTGGAAACAGGCCCTTCGGTCCAACAAGTCCACTCCGACCCTTGGAGCATCCTACCCTGACCCATCCCCTATAACCCACCTAACCTACACATCCCTGAACACTACAGGCAATTTAGCATGGCCAAGCCACCTAGCCTGCACATCTTTGGATTGTGGGAGGAAACCAGAGCAAAAACACAGACACGGGGGAAAATGTGCAAACTCCACACAGACAGTCGTCAGACGGTGGAATCGAACACGAGTCCCAGCACTGTGAGGCAGCAGTGCTAACCACTGAGTCACTGTGCCACCCTCTCGACAGAAGACAATGAGAGAATGCCAACATGAACCATATTCAATTGTCTCGTTGCTGCCGAAATCTTCAATAGCATGATTGTGTCTAGAAAAA